TAAAGGCAAGCAAAAAAATTGTATGGTTGGTAACTGTATTGTACATGCACTTATTATAGAAAAAAGAAAAAGAAAAGAGACTCCACTCTCTGCCAGTTCATATTCCATTGCTGCTAGTTCTCTTCCTACAACAGATGCTAATGAAGTTTCTTTTCCTGTGACTAAGGTAAATAGCAAAGCAGCTGATCCTCAAAAAAGGCAAGATCTAAACTTTGATGAGAGAGGGCAGTGGAAAGTTAACTTTGAAAAACGGCTTAAAGCAGTACTTCATAATGAGCAATTTTTTCAAGAACTCACAACCAGCAGTTACAGAGATAAATTTTACTCTCTTTTGTGTTATGAAGAAGCTGAGCACATTCAAATCCTTTCTCAAAAGTAATTTAACATTTTAATGCATATTACTTTATGTTTACTAACTGTGTAGGTGTGACGGAACTTATGAGATACAGGGCTGTCAAAAATTAGAAACGGAATCAAAATACATTTGTCAAATGCTAGGGATGGATGATGATCAAGTGCAGTATGCTACTCAAGCCAGTGAAGGAATGGTTTTCATTGACATTAAGAATCAAAAGGATATCTGCAAAGGAACAATTCTTATTAGCAATTTTCGTGATTTCAGCGAACATTTTTATGTTTCTCTGGCTATTGATGATTTTCGATTGCTTCAAGAAAAAAGTCGTCACATTAGATCAGGATGGTATGAGGTGAATGTCGAATTTGAAGTGAAGCATTCTTATTTCAATTCCCTACATCAAGCCGTCATTAGCATACCTTATTCAATGGTGAAAAAGATTACTCCAAGCAGTGATACTATCTCTCACATTCCTCTTACAGCATCTTTTCATTTGAAGCCTGCATACCCTCACCCTGATCTACTAGTTGATGCTGATAAGCAGTTTCAAGCTTTGAAAGCAATTGTTGAAAGTCCTGTAGATCATCCAGTTATTGTTTCTGGCCCTTTCGGTTCTGGAAAAACGAGAATTATAGCTCGTGCTGCTTACGAATTTATTCAAGCTGGTTTGGAATCACGCTGTCAAACGAGGATTCTTTTATGTGCTCATCATACAAATACAGTTGAAACATATATGCTGAAGTATTTGTGTCCTGGTTTTACTCGTATGCCACAGGTCAAAATTATTCGCATAACAAGAAAAGATTCCTCTAATTTTTCTCGCAATGTAATGAACAGGACATTATTTGATTTTAGACGTGACATTGTGATTGGACAGCACATTAATGATTGTGTTCTTGTGATCATAACAACATACATGAGCTCACTGCAAGTTGCAAAAACCCTCAATAAAGTTCGCTTCACTCATATCCTTCTTGATGAAGCTGCACAGGTTAGAGAACCTGAAGCAATAGCTCCTCTTTCTCTGGGAGATGCTGCTACTAAAGTAATTGTAGCAGGAGATACAAAACAGGTAATGCATTGTGTCAAATTTACTTAATTTTAATGTTAACTTTAGGTTGGACCATCTGTTCTTGTTCTGGGTGAAAAGAGTAAGAAGTATGGTCTGGCTCAATCATTGCTAGAGCGTTTGGAGAAGAAATACCAGGAGTTTGCAGGCAAGCAACAGGATTTTAAGTACTTGAAATACTTAGCTACAAATTATCGTTGTTGCCCTGAGATTGTGAAGTTCCTGTCGAGCACAATTTACAAGTACCCAATTGCCTGTGCACCAAAGGCATGTTCAGAAAAACAGCATCGAGCGATACGCTATCCTCTTGTATTTTATTGGTGTAATTGTAATGACACTCCAAGTCAGGACTTAAAAGGACTAATGGAGTTTGCAGCTGATGCAGTTGTACGACAGGCACAACATTATTTATCCTTCTGGCCACGTGAATGGAATCATATCAAGATGAGAGATGTGTGCATCATATCTCCTTTTAGAACTCAAGTAAGCAATATAAAACATATTGAAGCATGTATTATTGAGTTTATATGTATAGTTGAATATAATTGAATCAAAGTTGAAGAATGTGGGGTTAGGTAAACTAACACTTTTGCCATCATATTTAATTCAAGGCATGTTGATTATTATTTGATATTATAATTGTTATTATATGTCATATAGGTCATGAGTTTCAAGCTGTTATTTTGACCACATTTGAGCCACTTGAAAGTGATGGCACAAGTAGTAATCCAACTAAGAGCCTAACAAATCCTCAAATTTTTAACACAGCTCTCAGTCGTTCCAAGTCTTTTGTTGTTGCTGTAGGCAATCCATTCTCTCTGCTTGAAGCTGAGAAGCAATTTCCAGAACGCTGCTGGAAACATTACTTGAGCATTTGTTTGGACAATGATACCATTTTTTTCCCGGAGTCCTACAAACCAAACCAAAGAGATAGATTTAAGGAAAAACTTGGCACAGCACTTGGATTACTAAAGAAAGCAAAAAGTGCCGAGTACACTTCACATAGTCATCAAACTAGCCCATTTTTACATAGCCAAAGTCACTGACTATTGAATATTTGTTTGAATTATGACATTTGTGTGCCATTTAGTTCCTATACATTATAAATGAGATAATTTGCAACACTTTTGGTATCACTTACTAGTAAACATATTGACATAATACTATTGTTATTATGAAATTTATTTGTTACATAAACATGATTTCCCAGTAAGGAATCAGTAATCATAGCCATCATTATTCATTGCATACTATGGCCATATAAGGATGTAGATCACACGCAGTGAATCATATTCATGCATGTTATTGCTGCCTCATTGCAAAGAAAGAAGATTCTACCATGGCTCTTCTGTTTGAAGGTAGATATAATGTATGTGTAAAATAGTTGCTAATCCATACCTTAGAATTTGACAATATAAGAAAGTTTGGAATTCCTCAGATGCCATATTTACTCAATTATGTAGTTACAGAGGTAAGTCAGATGAATAATAGGCTAATTTTGATGCTAAGGTATTATAGATTCCAAGTGAATGGGAATATTTTGGAACTAACTTGAAAATCCCAGGATCTGAACTTGAAGCAATTAAAATGAATGTTACTTTTGCAGGAAAACCAGACAAAATGTTTTTTGAAGTTCTAAAGTTATGGGAAAAAGCTCCTAACTGTGAAGCACCATTTACTTGGGGAACTATTTTGCGTGTCCTTGTTTCTCCATCAATTCACCAAGAACGCTTAGCTAAAGAAGTGAGTAAAAATATACTATACTTTTTATAAACTATTAATAATTATTTGTTATTTAGTTGAAGAATAAACTAATTTCTGACTCAGAAAATAAAACAGATGACAATGAAATGAACATTGATTTATGTCAAGGTTTATTATAAGGCACAATTATAATGCATATTATATTTTATTATTTATATAGGTCTGCAACAAAGTTTCAGTTCTGATAGTGCAAGTGATTATGGCTACTATGACGAAGATGATCTCAAAAAATTGTGCAGTTGTGGAGATTGTTCTCTTGAGAAAATTATCACAGAAGGTTGCAGCAATCCTGATTCTTGTCACAGGTTTCCTATACTAGATGTAAAAAAATTACCTGGTTGCAAAAAGCAGCAATACCTATATCTTCTTGTGAAAGAAGCAAAAGCAATCAATGAAGCCTTTGCCTCCCTATTGATAGATGTTTGCGAATCGATGAAGAAAAGGGATGTATCAGTCAAAACCATTACACTCTACTTGAAAAGCTCAAAGTTGCTTGAGATAACAGCAAAGTCTGGTCTAACATTGCGAGAAACTCTGGACAATGCAACAGATATAGATGATGTTTTTAGCATTATCTCTGATATTTCGTCTTGGTTTAATCATCACCCTTTAGGATTGCTCATCAACAAATTTGGTGCTGAAGAAGATAAAACTAGTTATGAAACATTTCTAGAAGAGAATGTGATGACATATCTGAAGAGGAGCATTACAGAGATACCTAAAGACAGCTTTGGTGAGCATCTGAA